AAAAAAAAAAAAAAAAAAAAAAAACATACAGACGAATTGAGTACCTCCTTCTTTTGGGAAGTCGGTCAAAAATGTAAAAGCATACTTCATATTTTTAATACGCGAAGACTTTAATACGGCCTTAGTTGCTCATAGCTAAATTAATTGTAATTGGCAAAACGCACAACCAATAGTGTCAAGATGTAAGTTTATATTAACAGAGCTTAAACTTTAATACCTTTATTACCCAACTTGAATAGCCGCTTCAAACTAATTCCAACTTCATAGAAACTTGAATGAAGTACAATATGAGCGGCCTACGCGTTAACTCAGCTTTTGAGCGGCTATCTAAAGTGCTTTCATGTCTTGAACTTTCTAGGAAGCTTACAAGATAGAAATAGATATCTCGGTACTGCACCGAGCAAGAAATAGATATTAAATAAACAGCGAGGTCTTATATTAAGACGAAATATATAACTTTTATTCGATTAGTCTGTTACAAATCTCCAACGAAGAAAAGTTTCTGACAGTTAAAAAGTATTACCCATCGCCATTCAAATCATTTTATGATTACTGATTTCCACTTATTTTTTACTTCCAAAACAATTCAAAATATTAAACAAAAAGGTTCCTAAAACTAAATTAAAGTAGCTTTGAAAACATATTATTTAAATAGTCATTTGAAATGCGAGCTGTAGTTCTTGGGTTAATTTGCATCTGACATCTAACAATTAGCGCATCCAGTTTAATTAATGCTTCTGACAGCTTTGATTGTCTTGCTAATTAGTAACTGAGTAGGGAAGATGATGTAATCTTATATTTATGATATCAAGATATTGAAATTAAATAGCATATACAATGAATTAGTTACCTGCATCGTATTTTAACATAATACAATTTCTTCTGGTAATTCTTAATTTCGAAGTATTTGCAATAAAAAGTATGTATTAAATGTGCAATTTTCCTTTCTTGTAATTCTGAAATAATTGAAGACTAAATAATTATGTTATTATGTGGTTTTAACATGTTTTTATATTTTTGCTTACGACGCTTAAATAGTAATAAAAAAGCTCTCTCTGTTCGCTATTCTCGCCACATATATGACGCAGTGAGAGTGAAATACAGCTTAGAGAGCACAATGAAAGCCTTTTGCCCGATTCAGAGGCAGTCAAGTGCGCTTTTCATCGCTTAGTGTTCGGTTTCCCGGACGTTTGCCAAAAAAACGTAGCTAGAAAATAGCAACGCACTTTCTTCCTTTTGTAATACTTTTTTTACACTTTATTTTGTAGCAAACTTTTTAAATTTATTACCCCGTGTATCATTTAATGAAGTGTCTATCATTTGTAATTACTTTCTTGATTCTCATGACACTCGATGGGTTTCGATTAGAGTTTAATTTCCAGAGACTTCACCCTCTTCGTTATAAAATGACAAAGACTAGGTAATTCCAGAGAGTAAGCTTGGAATTAAACTATTTTTCACTGTTTACTTTTTTAATTACATTTGATTTGTTTAGACTTTTATTCATTGGAATAGGCATTAAACTAATAGTGTTCTTAACGTTCTGGCCGTCAAGAATTTATAGCTCGCTCTCAGCTTTAGAAACTATTCGGTGCTTTTATTATCGGATCTTAAAGTATAAGGGTACGCCTTTCTTGTAAATAATATAAAACTATGATATTTTTTTTAATATTTTATCGCTATTTTCTTGTGCCATCAAAGAATCACGCGTAATTTTAAACGAAGTATTCCTGTGTCGTCAAATGTTTTCCAAGTAAACTGAAAGAAAACATTTACTTTACTTTCGTAAACAATGTTTCTGATGGAGTTTCTTGAACTTGTTTATTTTTCATTTACGTACCAAAAATTTCCGTTATCGTGTATTTTTAGTCATCCTTTTAACCTCTTATATATCTGACAGGAACTTTCCTCCAGCTCTTTTAATCGAGTGCTATTAACGTTAGTAACTTTATCTACTATCAGTGATAGACGGTATCGTTATAAAAAAAAACATTATCACAGGCTTGCAATTATAGATAATGATCCTTCATTATACATTATTACGAGCTTACTATACTTTTTTTTTTAGTTTCCTGTAGTCTGATTTTTTTTACAGCAAACGAAAAAAGAAAGCTGTTAATGATTAACATCTGGGCTATTCATTAGTCATTTTATTTTAAATAACTTTTCTTTTTAGCAGCATGACAATAAAGTGGTCGTGGGTGCTGGTCGCCCTCGTAGTCGCCAGCGCGAGCTGCGAAAGGGAGCGCAGAGGGTCATCTCTTCGCGGCGCTCTGGAGGCTCTGCAACGACGACAACGGGGACGCAGCCATGGCCCAATAATGCCTCCACCTGACTACGAGGACATCTACGAGTATCTGCCTCCACATGCATATCCAGGTTTGACAAAAGTTTGTTTTTGCAACGCCTAAAATCTAAAGAAATAAATTCACAGCACATTTAAATATGTTTACAGAAAACGACTACGTTATAGATACGGAAGATACTGTCGAGAGTGCTCCAAAATACATCTTTGAACTTTTGGATGACGAAAACGAACGTTCTCCAGAAGGTGCCTACGAATATAAAGTAATCAAAAAGAAAACCCACCCTAATTCCTTAAAAAAAGAATCAGCGTTTCGTGAAAGGACCCAAAATTCCGATAATGACGTACTTCGGAACATATTCATGAACCCGAACAATGAAGACGATAAAATGCAAGATCGAGCAGAGAATGATGCTGAATATGCGCTCCTCTTAAATCAATTATGGTCTAAATATAAACAAAATAATAACAATGTACGAGCTGATAATACAGAGGCACCCCAAGGTGTAGTCAAATTGTACAAGGAAAAAGTTGTCAAAAAAAGGTACCCCGACAACTGGGGACCCATCGCATTTAAAAAGAAACGTAGTTCCGACTTAGAAGAGGAACGATTAAATTATGAAGAGTCCAAAAATCGTGTTGATAACGTAAATCACAATTACAATGCATATGACGTAGCGGATAATGATAACAACGATATGCAAGAAGAGTATGCAATCGCTTTCCAACCAATAGACGATGACAGACTATCAGAAATTTTAGATGATGATCAGTATCCTTATGATGCGATTGAAAAACGCTTTCCAGTCACGAAGCGTAGCAGTGGACCCTACATAAGCCCACAACAGAAAAGATTTGCGCCCAATCAAAGCAAACGAGATTTACCAAAAACATTTAGAAGTAACACTGGAACCGATCCAAAAGTCTTAAGAGATCTGTCAAAAATATTTGGTGAACCTGAGTCTGAAATCATTAAAAACCCCGTAAAAAGAAGCAGCGATCATGATGAAACCTCGCATGAGATGAAACCACCTAACCTCACTATTCTAAGCCATAATGAAACACATCAACACAATGTTACGCAAGTTGAAGAGGACAGTCATGATCATAGCCATATAATTCATCATCCGGGCTTGTCTGGAAAGAAAATTGAACATGATCACGACGACGACCATGACCACGAACACGACCACGAACACGACCACGACCACGAACACGACCACAGTCACGGTCGCGGTCACGATCACGATCACGACCATGCTCATAATCATGATCACAGCCACGGTCACGCTAAAAGTCATGTTCATGACCACGATCATAAACACGAAAATGATAAAGCTGATAAACCTCTGAACATCAAAAAGAAATCCATAGACTGGTCTGATTATTTTGGAGTTGACAAGCGTTTCAAGAAATCTGTATCATTTGTTAATGATTTAAATCAAGACAGGCTCAGGAAACAATATTTCGACATATTCAATAAAGAGGTCATCTATCCTGTGAACTCCTTTCGTAAACACACAAACGTAAAGAGGAACTTCATTCAGCCAAAACCAAACGAAGAGACAGAAATTCAGATAGATCACACGCAGGCTGTTGCAATTCGCAATGACAATAAACGAAACACTGCTCTAGACAACGATTCTAAACTAGACAATATCGACAAGAAATTGCGAAATATGGAAGGACTGATCGTGGATGAAGCTTTACACTACTCTAATGTAGGCGAAAAACTGGATTCAAAGGAAGAACAAGAAATGAAAGAAAAATTACTGTCTCGCTTGGCCGCCGCATACAGCCTGGAGAAAATGAGAAAAGCATTAAAAGAATTTAAGCAAAGCTTGCAAACACAGAAGGCAATAAATATGAAACTGTCTACAGGTAATGACGAGACAAAAACTAAAAGGGTTGCAGTCAAAAAAGAGAAAGCTATTTCAACTACCAATGATGTTGCCAATTACCTAAAAGACGATGATAAAATTGATGATTTCCAAGACGAACAAGGTGCGGGACATTATTTAAATGGAAAAATAGAAGAACAGCTTTCGGAAGGTTACATGGGTGGGAGCGGACGACATCGTACACCAATTATGTCAAATGGTAAATATGCTCAGATTAATAAAGGTGCATAATATCTTAAGAATTTAAAAATGGTGGCATTAAAAATTACGTTTTTTCAGTTGGTTCAACGGGCCCATGTCCGGTTCTTGCAAAGATTATTCAAAGGTGCCGTGGTGTTGATTTATTGGCCGGAGATCGAGGACAACTCTTCCTCACTCACTGCAGCCTTCATCAAATCTGCTACTTATGTGTAAGATTTTTATAACAATTTTCCAAATTACGAGGATTTTTTATATCTATTTATTACTTTTCTTCCTATTAATAACATCAATTTATTTCAGGGCGAAGCGGCACCGACAACTTGCGATTTAGTTTTCCTATCGGAAGCTGATACTACTTGTGAAGGCGACATGAATTGCCAACGTGCGGCGCGCTCCACTTTGATGGCTCTTCGAGAGCTGCACGACAACCTGACCGACGAACTGGACGGAGAATGCGAGGCCAGCCCTTGCCTCGCTGCCACTTTAAAACTAAACAACGGTTGGCAAAGAGCACTCCGACGTTAGACAATCGGTTGAAATCAGTCACGATGATTTGATCATGGCATGTTCGCATGGTTTACCTATGCCCGAAAAAACTTTTAAAAAAGTAGATCGTTCTGGATCAATTCGATGCCCAGAACATTCGTAAATGTTATTTTAAAATATTAAGTAACAAACTGTTTGAGAAGATTTTACGATAGTTGTATTTTTTCTAAAGATCACCTTACTTATGTGTACTTCACTATTATTATCGTAATGTTTTTAAAAACATCCATTCGTGTCTAACCAGCCATAGACACGCATGGAGTTGAGAATGATCTCAGTTATTACTTGTACTAGGAATAATGAATATGGTATTTATGCGAAGATCTATGCTTTTGTTGTTTAATGTATTAATGGCATGTGCTGCGCGTCGTATGAACAATATTGTAAGTACGTTTTATCGATTCTATCTAATGTCATCTAGCTGTATTCAAGTATAAATGGTTCAGCATAAAAGAGGAAATCTTTCATAAATTCGTAGATGATTATGCGTGTATTGATATGGTAATTTTATCGTTGTTGAATATTTACTTATAAACTATACAATACTTGTTTTTAATGTGTCGACGTATGTCTAAGATTTAACATTATTGAACAATGTAATTTCAATATTTATCTTTGTGTATGTGTGTTATTAAAGTTATCAAATACTATGTTATTGGCTATATTTATGTTTCTTAAAAATGTTATATATTCAGAATGAAATTTAAGAAGAAAAATTCAAAGCTTTCTGACGATTCTCGAATGTGATATGATCCAAAAAATATGTTAAATGTTTCCGAAGGCTGTAGCACAACTTAGCTCTAGTGCACTTGTAGACTATACTAGGACAATAAAGATATATCGCTTTCGTACGACTTTATGTCACAATTAGGCAAGACGTCTGTCTATCGTTATTAAATATCCATTTCATGTCTTCCGAATATTGGCAAACATAAAGACTATAAATCGCGCAGTTAAATCATAATAAATTTAAACAAATGAAGCCATTCTCATTCAAAAATTGAATAAAAAAATTGAAATCCTTATGTACAACTACGAACAATCTACAACTTACTGCAAAATTGTATTATTCATACATGGATGTTATTACTTTATTCGTATAATGTTCTAAAACATATAATACACTAATATAAATGGTTTACAATTAATAATTTGTTTTATTACCTAAAACACTTAAGAAATAAAGAGATTCCCAACAACTCGATGGTAAACGTAGAACCATAAATTTAAATTTCTGACGAATTCGACTCTTTGATTTCAAAATTCAAGATGTCTGGAATAAAGATATCGATGTAGTCGATGGTATTACAACGTCGATGGTCGAGTTACACTGATAATTCTGATTTATCAACGCATACACTGATAAGGTGCAAAGTGCCGAACAACAGTGACGATAAACTATACCTCTAATGTATTAACAAACAAAACTGCTGGTAAAAATAAACAACATTATTATGGAAACGACAAATATGGAAAGAAATACTCAAGGAATCGACAATCCTGCTGCAACGCAAGGTATTTATAAAATGACCGTGCAATAATTTAAAAAAATCGCACAACTTTGAATTCCCAGAAACCAACACAGTGTCATATTATAGGCATCCTACTAACAGTTTTATTAAAAAAAGTAAAACAGTTAAGTCAATTTGGTATACCTAATTGAGATAGTAAACTTATTATACGTGTAGGTATCTAAGACCGGAAGTAATATCATATTTTCATGCTATCTCAAGTAACTGAAAATGTTGTTTCGCAAAAGTTACATTTCCAGTAACGACGCAAATTATCCAAAGAAATATCATTTTAAAACCAATTTATAACGGACTTTGGGAATGTCACCTTTTTAACAGGTCTTCTTGGATACCCTACGTATAGCCGAATAGTAGCGAATTTATTTTATAAGCAACGTTTACTTACTTCTTTAGTAATAACAGAACCATTTCACAGATGATGGAAATAAATTAAGGCCAGATCTAGTTATAAGCGTGCAGCCGCAGTCACAAGGTAAATTAACATGAATCATATACTTACTTCTTTATAAAAAGTAATATAATTTATTTAGAAAGGAAGAACATCTATCTATTCAGCTATCTGACGCCCACTGCTGAGCATAGGCCTCGCCCAAAGATCGCCACGATAATCAGCCATATGCCTCTCGCATCCAGGAGGAATAGAAACTAAAATTAACTGTTGATGTTTCAGAGAGCGTTCGCGCTGAATTGCCCGTGTCCACAATGAACTGGCATTCCCGTAGCGGTGGACAGTTCATTCCCATGCACGGACTCGATTTCCTTATTGGCACGTCCAGTCTTGTTATACAACAAACTGTAGAACTTAACGACCGTGAGTTAATTACACATTAAAACGTTCGATCCTATAAAGTAAAAGCAATACATTTTAAAATTCAAACGCTCTTACATACGGGGACGCTACTTATAAACAGCTTAGTCCAATGCGATATCTAAATATACTTTGATTTTTTACTTTCCAGTTACATCAAAAATCGATTCCGAAAATCGGTATATAATTCGAGTGCCGAACGGCGAGGCGTTATACTTCGCTAGCGAGGTGTCAACATCAACACAGCGATGTCTCTGTGGCACGGGGAGGGCGTTCGTCATGCATCTTCATGACAACACTCGCCAGGAGGCTATAGTCTTCAGGCGGCGGCTAGCTGGGGCTTCCTGCTTCTTCCCTTGTAGGCTACAAGTACGTTCTGTCATAACAGCTACTGAATTAATCTAGGCCAAGTAAATTATTTGCATTCGAATATATCAGCGTACATACTGTTGGTGTATACGGTATACCTCAGTATTTAAATACCGTTCGTTTTATTCTAGTTAATTTTTAAGTTTATTTTATAAGTTGAATTTAAAATTACTTGTTACTTGAGGTCAGTACTCAGCGGTGCTACACAAGTTACGCATGCATACTGCGTAGTTAAAACGTAGACAAACCGTAGCACTTTGTTATGGCGTGACTTCTACAATTAAAACGCTGTAAAATATGTTAAACGAGTAAGTGTGATATGAGAGTGATATTAGTATGATAAATTTTTAAGAATCAATATATATGTTACGACGTTTTTTATTTGCTTGCGTACTTAGGAGATGAAAGTAGTAACACCTCCTGGCAACTACGTGGGACGCGTGCACCAGCAGTGGTCGTGGATGGTGCCTTTCTACCTGGTGCGTGACGCCGATGATTGTGTGCTCTTCGTCATCGAAGGCCCCGCTTCTTTGAAGAGAAGCGCACTCATGTTGTCAGAATTTAAGGTTACATTTATAATTTACTTTCAAGAAATCATCTAACTTAATGTTGTTCAAAAAAAATGTATTTAACGAATACATAATACAATTTTGATTCTTACCATAATATGAAAACACAAAGCTTTTTAAAGACATTTATATATCATGTAGTTTTAAAACATTTCAGATAATGTCAGGAGACTCGTTACGTGAAGTGGGCAAGATATCCCACGGGTGGGATCGTGAGTTGGTGAACTTCACGACGACGCTTGTGTTCCCGGAGACTGCGGTGCAACCCAAACACAAGGCCCTCCTATTAGCTGCCACTTTCTTGATGGTACTAAACTTAATTTATATTGATAAGTTTTTCAAAGAACTTATAAAAAATAAACCTTCATTTGTTTCAGGAATACACATATTTTGAAAGAGCCAAATCAAGTTGTATGCGTTTCAATTGCTTTTAAAAGGCTTTAAGGGAATATTTGTTTACTTTTATATTATTTAACATTTGTTATTAAATGTAACGATGTTTTTACTTATAAAAAGAATTTTAATGACATCCTTCCAATCCAATAGTGGCTATCCCCATCGTATCCTGGTTCCTGCTTACCTCAGACATGAATCTGAGTTCGACTGAGTGAACAGCTACCTAGCGCGTACCATCTTTCGACTACATCGTCACTTCCTTCAGGTGGGATCGTGGTCAAGCGCTGGCTTAACAGATATAAAAAAATGACATCAATAAGAAAACCGCCATATTTTAAGTCGTGATTTTTTAATCTCATTATAATTCCAATTATCAAATTCAGATGGTGAAAAACTAATAAAAACGGTTATTTAATACACAAAAATAAATTGTGTTCATTTACGAACTTTGTGAAAATTGTCATACAACTGTCATACTGTGTTTTATAAGATCATGTCATTTGAATTGTAATTTATTTGCTATAATTATGCATATTCTCAATTTTATATAATATTATTAATTTTTATAATCTATACCTATGTCACGAGATTTTTGTGGAACAGTTAAATGTAAGTCTTGGCCTTATCAGCAATATTACATCGGAAATAAAGATGAGGTAAACAGAAGGAATGGCGATGGTGAGAACCACTGGACGGGGGCGAAGGTACCTTTATTGTGTTTTTTTAACACGCGTAACAATCACATACATACGAATAATTCTCTCTCTTCCAAAATACTACTTTTAACATTCAGTAGCAAGTTATTGTCAAAATATAATTAACGACATTTGATCTTCAAGAGAATAACACTACTGTTACTAACCTATTACTAACTGTAACTAACCTACGTTAAAAGATATTTCCATATTCTGTATCTATAAAGAGTAAAGAGTTACGGTAGAGCAAGTAGAAGTATTTCTGTCGTCCCTTGAACTTTTTACGTATCAAAGACACAGTTCTAACCATTGTTTTATCATAGTCATTGGAGAGATATTCTGGTCAATTCTTACGTGACACAATGCACGGCTTAGGAGAATATTTTTGGCGATATCTCGATAAAGAAGGAGCGTTTTACACTTACGAAGGACACTTCTATTGCAACAAACTTCACGGCTATGGTAGTCTATCCTATCCTGATGGACGCGTCTTTAATGTAAGCATCATAGTTAAGTTAAATAAATCGTATGTTAAATCATTTTCGTTTGTTAAAAATTGTATTATACTTTTACCCATCAATCGTAGAACTTGCAAGCTCTATCAGCACTTCACTAAATACGTAACACTTCTAAAATATTTATGACTTAAATTACCTAGGGTTTATTTTACTACAATATAAAATTGGGACCAGGAGTGGAATCATGTGTAGACATACGACAAAATGTTGGTCTTTGGCTTGGCGACCAATTAGTGCGGTTAGCTTGGATGCCACCAACATATAGCTTGATTCTGAATTTAAATTCAACTAATACTGGCCGAGCTTGTGTTGATGAACAAAGAATTTTATTGACAACATGTAATAAAACCGTAAGTACATACATTATCCTTTTGTAACATTCTTCTTATCTAAACTAATATAGTTAAATCAATATTGGAGTCAATTAGCAAACATATTTGTTTCAAGCCCGAGAATAAATAATTAAAAAAAATGTATTTTCGTAGTTTAATGAAAACCCAGCAAAAGATCTTCTCATCCAATACGGTTTAGATTCTGAAACAGCTGAAGAGAAATGGCCGAAATTGTACCCGAGAAATTGCACAGACATGACTAGCTCAGTGTTTTGCCTCCATTTGTTTGACAATGTTTACTACGGAGCAAAAGAGCAAAACATTTTAATAGAAACCCAAATGAAAGAAAAGGTTTGAAATTAACAAATTGAAACAAAGTAATTAAACGTTTACAACAATGTTAATAGAACTGAAACAATTTCTATAGATTACAGAAAGCGCTGAAAATATCGAAGAAAGTAAAACCTATTTTGCGTGGAATAATAACACAATCATAAAACACATGATGCAACATGCATTTGCGCATGATCATCAACGAAATGATTTCGGTATAAAAATGTCAAATGTCCTTACTGAATCTAGGAAAAATTTAAAACCACCGGCAAAGCACGAACAGGATTGCAGGTTCAGTATTTTATTGAATTGACTTAAATAGTTTGTGACGTAATTCAATCTCCGATGACAATAATCTTATAATGTCGCAGAACTTTATTGATGGCCAGTTACTTGGGTTATACGGAAAAAGTGGTTCAACTTATTAATGAGTGCAATATACATCCAGATTTAACAGACGTACAGGGCAATAATGTCCTGATGTATGCTGTGGTAAGTGTGAATTTAATCTCGTAACACAAAATCGTCTACACAACTTTTTGATTTTTCCCCTCGACAGTGCGGAGATCATGCAGAAATCGTACATTTTCTCGTGGAGGCCGGAGCTAATATTGATAATTATAACGATTGTTGTTGCACGGCCCTTTGCATCGCTATAATACGATACGTTTGTGCTTATAAAAACGTATCTGTTAGATCCATGGCACAAGCATTGATACCAGAAACAAGTTTGCTACCAAGTCGTAAGTTTTCATCTACTTTGTTATGTTTATGAACAATAAACAAATTAAGACCTTACCTAAGTTTTTATCTTCCATTGCATTTTTCAGCAGCTTTAGAAAATGTATGTGAATGGTATTTAGAAAAAAATATATCATCTCCCCAAAAACTTAACGGTCTCGGAAAAAATCCAAGTAAAATCTTAAAACCTCAGAAGAAAACAAAGTCTGCAATGTCTCTTAGGGATCAATTTAAAAAAACTTTAATAAACCTATCTGTACAAGATCAGACTTTAGAAAAAGAAGAGGCTGATGTTGTGAATAGTGAGGACGTATTTATGTCTATTCTAGACGAATATTTAGCGAACATAGCAGAGATATTTTCAAGACCTACATCGGGAAGCAATGTTACATACCTTTTTTCAGTCAATGATATAGCAAATGAGATGATAGATAGTGAAATGGAAGAGCAAAAGAAAACTACTGATAAAAATGCTAAAAAAGGAACTCTAGTTCCACCCAAAGTACCCAAATCTGTAAACGAGATTCCTCAAAAAGATACCACTGGTTCAGCAAATTTTACAGACAGAAGTGAAAATGAAAGGTACTTTATCAAACACTACTTTGATGTAGGCAGTAGATGTACTTATGGTTTAATCGATTATATTCTCTATCTTAATTTCTTATTTTTACTTTTTACAGCTGTCAAAGATCGTTAACTACAGTAGTGCAGCTACTCTCGGATGGAGCAGATCCAAGGCTTATACGATGTCCGCAGCCAGCTCTCTTTATGGCAGTAGCGTCAGGAAGTAGTGTCTTAGTCCAGCATTTAATCGACCATGGTGCCAATGCAAATGAATATTATTCACATGTAAATCTCATTTATTATTTGATGTCTTTTCTGAATCTTCTTTGATATTCACTATTTTTATTTTGTTTAGATTCTAGGTTATTCACCACTTGATATAGTCATTTCCTATCAGTTTACAATGGATGTTTTAAATGTTGTGCGCGTGTTACTGGAAAACGGAGCGGATGGCAAACACCGACTGCCATACAAGCCTCGTGTTTCCTCCGAGTTAATAACGCCAGGACCAACACTTTTGCATGCGGTGCTAGCGAAGGCAGTTGACGGTTCAATGGAAGAAGAGGTTAAACTTGATAAGAATTGATCCAGTAGTCTATTCAATTATGTATTTTTTAATATAAAGGCTCTACTTAACCTTACAGATTCGTCGGGAGATTCTTGAACTTCTACTGACTTACAATTGCAGTCCCATAGAACAATTTAATGGCCGTTCAGCAATAGACGTAGCGATGTCCAAAGGAGCTGACGTGTTTGATGTATTTATAAGTCATTCGAAAGTCGACCTTAATGCAATTATAAATCAATCCAAACAAACTATATTAATTAAAATGTTTGCATTGTCGTTTTTCAAGACATTGGAAAATAAGGAGCGTCTTGAAATTGTATGTAATTTAACTCAGTATATTTTTTAGCACAAACACATTCAGTTTTTTTTCTAACTTCTGTATTGGTAGCTTCTTGAAACTTTATAACCTAAACTTTTTAGTTGACAAATTTGTTACTACGAGGCGCTGACCCTTTTCGACCTTGCCAAAATGAAGCAGAGGAATTTGATAACTTTTTCGTATACGCAAGAAAGTTTCTTGATGGACTCGATGGTACTGATGTAAAACACAGTCCATCTGGTGAGAGACACGTACATTTACAAGTAGATGTAATCGCTAGTTAATTTAGTACATTTGAATTTTATGTTAAACTAGCTGTACCGTGCGACTTCATCCGCATGAAATTATAATTTTATTGCTTACATTTCTCAAATGACAACGAAAGCCTGTCCATATATTGATCTTGCTTCCTTAATATTGGCAGCTTGTAGTTTATGGTCCCTTTCCCAAATGGTCTTTATTTCTAATTTATTTACCCCTTAAGTTTAATAGCGTGAAAATGTATAGCCTTAAGCGTTACATTAGTGTAGGGCTTTTTATTAAAAAATGATTTATTTAAAAATATGCTATAATTGCTGACATCTTACGCCACAAAGAAGTGTTTGTTTACGCTTTATTATAATACCAACCGAAATGACATTATATGCCTATTCGTTATTTGTTAAACCTAAGGAATGACTTTGAAATAGCAGCCAATAATTAAGGTATACCTGTACACTTAACATATCTTTTTTTTTTTAAATTAGTAAGTAAACATGAACAAAAAGTGAAGAAAAATGGTAAATCTAACATTGACAAAGGTGTATCGAAACAGAAGGCAATCCCGACAGATATTGATGAATATAAACTGGCGCTACAACTTGTGATGGATCTGGGCCGACTCTCGCACGTTCGTTGGCTACGAGCAAAATTTGTTACTGAATTAATTAGAACAATCAAGAAGTAAGAAATCGATATCAGTATCTCTTAATTAGAGTAATTTAATACTTAATTTTTTAACGAAATTACTATTTTTATTTTCTATATTCCGTTTAAAAATCACCTTATCTTTGAAATGTCGCTTGTAGATTTAAACATCGACACTGGAACATGATACTAAAAGAAATTGAAGACAAAACGGGGATCAGTTCATGGCTTACGATACCAGACTGTCTAGAAATATGGACAAACCTAAGTAAAAGAATTAAAAATGATAAAACCGTTTTGAAATATCTACTCTGCATTGTATTTTATTGTTGCCGATACATTAATGATAAAACTGACATCGAAGTGAAAGTAACTGCCCATGAAAAAGCTACAATTGAAAAAGAAGTTCGGAATTATATTCGTAAACATGAAATGGTGAAGGATTTAACCACAATAACTAATTATTACACCGCTATTAAAGAAGCTAAAGAAGATGTAAGTGGTTTATTTACATTTACATTTTAACAGTTATCAAATACATGTTGGTTGAAGTAAATGTTTCGTTGCCTTATCGGCTTAGCTTAGAGTTAAGTTAAACACGTCTTCAATCATTTGGCTCTACAAATCATAAAAGGTGAATGAACGTAGTTTTTATTTTTTTTCTTTTTTCAGACAATCAAATACAACGTGTGCTTTGAATGTTGTCTACCTTTAAAGGAAGAAAAAGTCGTATGTTCCTTGTGCAAGAGTGTTTATTTTTGTAACAATGAATGTATAAAATTAAATGTGGATAGAGACGACTGTCACCCCTGTAGCTATAATTTAAAGAAAATGTATTTTTCAAATTCTAACAGCGACTCTAATTTTGGATCACGAAGCCAAAATTCATAATATTCAAGCTTAGCTTATATTTTTTTTAAACATCTGTACGAACCTAAAACGCATAGTTGATACATTAGATTTGTACAGCTTTGATTATTTTTAATAAAATAATTTTATATTTCTTATTTTGTTCCCTAATATAATTATAAATAAAACTTGCTGAAACTTTTATGTCCTATTTTTTTACGCGACCAAAAAACTGGTCACACTAAAACAATACATCAATATAGTCACTTTAACATTGACATTACAAAGGCGGGATAACTGAAATATCAAAAACAATCAAAGTTTTTGAATAACAAATAGTGTATACATAATTCAAATTATAAATATAAATAGGTGAAACATATCTTAATAATGCCTCCACCAGCGAAGAAAAAAAAGACTTCACTTGCGTCGGGGGGCTTCAGAAACAAAACAATCAAGTCGAGTCTTGTCGACTTCATAAATAATATACAAAAGAAGCGAGAGAATACAGCCGATTCAATTTTAGATTTTAATTTTCATAAAAAACGTGTACGTATACTATCACAAGTTCAACTTGTGCCTGATTATTGCGCTGGTGTTGTTTATTGGATGTCGAGAGACAGCAGAGTTCAAGACAACTGGGCATTTCTATTCGCGCAGAAGCTGGCTCTTAAAAACGAGGTTCCTTTGCATGTCTGTTTCTGTTTGGTTGAGAAATATTTAGATGCATCATTGAGACAATTCCATTTTTTAATTAAAGGTAAAAATATTTACCATATTAGTATTATTGATCATTAAAAAATATCATATTTAACATCTAATCTAATCGGCGTGGTTCTAGGTTTACAAAAAGTTGCTGCAGAATGTAAGAAATTAAATATTTCATTCCATCTGCTAGAAGGTAGTGGAGATAATGTTCTGCCACAATGGATCATTGAACACAGGATTGGAGCTGTTGTTTGTGACTTCAATCCCCTAAGGATACCTACGAATTGGGTTGAGAATGCTAAAAAGAAATTCAGAATGGATGTCCCTTTTATACAGGTAATACAAATTTATAAAATCACTCAATTAAAAAGTAAATAAAGGTAACAATGTCTTTAAATTATCTGATTACAGGTGGATGCCCATAATATAGTGCCTTGCTGGATAGCTGCAGATAAACAGGTGCACACCATATATAGCATGAGATGTAAAATCAATTCCAAACTAGAAGAATACTTATCAGACTTCCCACCGGTTATAAAACATCCTTACACAAGCAGTTTTCTACCTGAGGTAATCAATATTATATTTCTAACTTCTGTATATTAACCTATCCAATGTACATATAAATAAGCAAAAACAACAGTTTTTAAAGAACTTTCAGGATATATTGGACCTTTATTTCTCTTGTGTTCCTACTGTTTGTCAACATATTTGTAATATTAAAAATAATACATGTAAACAAGGTATCAAAATAGCAATATCATTGTGCTATTTGAATTATTTCTTTTATATGACACAAAATTTTTAATTGGTTATAGCCAATAGATTGGGACAAGGCAATAGAGACTAGAGAAGCTGACAAGACAGTAGGACCAATAGAGTGGGCCAGTCCAGGTTATGAGGAAGCTATGAAGACATTAAAGAGTTTCATAGACAAGAGATTAAAAATGTTTGCTGACAAACGAAATGATCCAACAGAAGATGCTTTGAGTAATTTGTCACCTTGGTTTCACTTTGGTAAATGTTTTTTTTTTATTTTTTAGTAAATTTTTATTAATTTGCTAACATTTCTTTTAAGCAAACCAACTCTAGGCTTGTGCTAGAATATGGTTCATGACAATAGTTGAATGGCGGGATTCGAACCTTCGACCGAAGATCGGTATTTCGTACCCTAAACCATTAGGCTATTGGCGCTTTATGCGTATAAAAGCTAAAAATATATGTGTGATTATAACAGGTCAGATTTCAGCACAAAGAGTAGCGTTATGTGTTCAAGAATACCAATCGCAGTATACAGAGAGTGTGAAGGCATATTTGGAAGTTGCTATTGTTCGACGCGAATTGACCGACAACTTCTGCTTTTACTGTGAAAATTACGACAATTTAGAAGGAGCTGATAACTGGGCAAAGAAAACTTTAGATAAGCATAGGTTATTTTTTATTACATTGCTTTCATTGTTGTCATTATTAAATGAAAATTTTTATTATATAGCCTTTTATACATATTTCAGGAATGATAAAAGATCACATATTTATACATTAGAAAAACTAGCTAAAGCAGAAACTCATGATGAACTGTGGAACTCCGCACAACTACAGATGGTAAATGAAGGCAAGATGCATGGTTCTATCAGAATGTACTGGGGAAAGAAGATTCTAGAATGGACACCAAGTCCGGAAGATGCACTTAAATATGCAGTATACTTGAATGATCATTACAGCATAGATGGCAGAGACCCAAATGGATATGCGGGTAAGTATTTTGTTTTAAATTAAGCAGTTTCAACAAAAATATCTTAAATTCCAAAGCTAGCTAAATTCTCTCAATTTGAACCTTATGAAATTACATATGTTTGCAGGATGTATGCGGTCAATATGTGGTATACATGATACCAATTTTGTAGAGCGACCAGTTTTTGGTCAAGTTAGATACATGAATTATAATGGATGCAAGAAAAAATTCAACATTAACACTTTTGTTGAACTCTACGGTGGCAAGAAACATATGTACATAACTGCTAACTAGTCTCATTGTGGTTTATTACCGTTTGATGTTTTTACCAGCCCCTTTTTAAGTCTTAATTAATACAAAAGTGGCCTTGCAATGTATGTGTATTTGTTACGTGATATAAGTAAATACGTTTATGATTTTTCTACAGACGTTTTTATGTAATTTGTATTTTAAAAATAAAAAACATATGTTATGATCACAAGGTGAATCAATAAATTATTTTTTTACAGATATTTCCTCATGTAATATCCCTTAAAATGAAATGAGAAAAAGAGTATCGACATAGGCAAAACATTTTACCTAAAATTAAATACTATGCTTACAATGCTTTCTTTAATTTTATCCTATTTTTAGAAACATGTACATTAAACATCGGATATGGTAGCCAATGCCGATTTAAATAATCTTTCACAATAAACAAGCTACTACCAATATCCTCTGTATAGTCTACATGCATTTTAATTACCTGTACAATGTCAGTGTCAGATTCCGACATTGTCACCTTGAAAATGACATTTAAAAAGGCGCCAATGTTACAAAAAAGAAATTCATGTTTTAATTTTAAAATTGTCTAAACACAATTACGTTTTTTGTTCTAAATTCATTAAATACTCTGACTTTCTGCTCATAACCGAATTGAAATCAAAGATGCCATCGGCACCAAAGAAAAAGAAGCTGGCATCATCCACAACTGAAAATATAACTAAGGCAACCTTATCAGACTTTATTATTGAAATACAAAAGAAACGTGAAGATACGGCTAATTCTATTTTAGATTATGATTTTAACAAAAAACGAGTGCGTATAATATCACAAGTACAGCTTGTACCGGATTATTGTGAGGGAGTTGTTTATTGGATGTCGAGAGACTGCAGAGTTCAGGACAATTGGGCATTTCTGTTCGCTCAGAAACTTGCTCTTAAAAACGAAGTTCCTCTACATGTTTGCTTTTGTTTAATTGAAAAATGTTTAGACATGTCTTTGAGACAGTTACATTTTTTAATAAAAGGTAAAAATAACAGCTGAAACAGCTAAGGTCCGACATTATTTTGTTGCTGAAACATAATATTAAATTTCAGGTTTAGAAACAGTTGCAGAAGAATGCAAGAGGTTAAATATATCATTTCATCTATTGAAAGGTAGTGAATATGATGTACTAACACAGTGGATAGTTGATCATAAGATTGGTGCAGTAGTATGTGATTTCAGCCCTCTTAGAATACCAAAGAATGTTCTTGAACAGGTTAAAAAGAAAATTAAAGAGGATGTACCCCTAGTACAGGTAAATCTTTATTATTTTTTTCGCCAATATTTGAATCAAGTTGAATTTGCAGATGATATTACAAAAACATTGTCACAAATGTTTGTGGTGAGCTTGTGTACAAAAAGTTATATTGCACTGTTATTCAGTATACCCATCAAGCTAATGAGAGTTCACTACTTTTAAACCTACCTTTGAGTTTATGAAACATAAATACAGGGGAAAGTGTAAATCATTTATAATTTCTAGGTGGATGCACATAACATAATCCCTTGTTGGATAGCTTCAGAAAAACAGGAACTTACTGTTTGGGGAATGAGAAATAAAATAAGCTCCAAGATAGATGAATATTTAACTGAGTTTCCTCCAGTAGTCAAACATTGTTATACAAGCAAATTTGCTCCGAAGGTATATAAATTATTTATGTAACTTATTGGCTTTTGCCTGCGACTCTATAAGGGATTTAAAAAACATGTGTTAGTAGCCTCAGTGTACAGACTATGTAGTAAGTAGCTTCAATGCCAAATAGCATCATAATCCATTAATCTATTTCAGAGAACCTGTAACAATCCATCCATCTAAACTTTATGTTAATAATATAAATAAGATGTAAATAGAGGTAATCACAAAGTGGATTGTTTGTTTTTATTGCTAATTTGACATTTAAAAAAATAGTTACTTTCGTACTGTAGTCTATAGATTGGGACAACACAATCAAGACAATAGAAGTTGACAAATCTGTTAAACCAATAGAGTGGGCCAGTCCTGGTTATGATGAAGCCATGAAGACTTTAAAGAATTTTCTAGAATCAAGACTTAAGATTTTTGCCTCAAAACGAAATGACCCAACACAAGATGCTTTAAGCAATTTATCACCCTGGTTTCATTTTGGTAATTATTAAATATGGTTTTTTTTTTACTTTTATGTAAATTAGATATTTTAAAACACCCTTTACTTTACAGGTCAAATTTCACACCAAAGAGTTGTGCTGTGTGTTCAAAATTATAAATCAAAATACTTGGAAAGTGTTGATGCTTATTTTGACGCAGCTGTTGTACGTCGAGAACTAGCGGAGAACTTCTGTTTTTATAATAACCATTATGATAGCATTAAAGGGGCTTATAATTGGGCTCAGAAGAGTTTAACTGAACATTGGTATGCCTTTTCAATATCACTATGCTTCTGTTTTTAATGATGCTTTTCCCTTAACAAGAAATATATTTCAGGAATGATGAACGAACACACAATTACACATTAGAACAGTTGTCTGCAGCTGAAACACATGAAGACCTGTGGAATTCAGCTCAAATGCAACTTGTGAAAGAGGGAAAAATGCATGGCTTTCTAAGACTATACTGGGCAAAGAAGATTCTGGAATGGACGTCAAATCCAGAGGATGCGCTCAAATTTGCAATACACTTAAATGATCATTACAGTATAGATGGCAGAGATCCTAATGGATATGCGGGTAAGTACAGAGTAAGTCAAAACAGATAACAGATGGACAGTAGCTTGAACTAGGTATGGATTGTATGGACTAACTGGCGTCATTAAGTGTTCACATTATGCCAATTGAATGTCAGTCTAGTAATGAAGTGCAATGTCCAACTGTACTAGCTAAGTTTGAATTAGGCAATAATCTACTAATTTATAACAGATGCACAAATATTAAACTTTGTAATTTAAAAAAAACATATTTATCCTAAACAAAATTTTACTTCGACAGGTTGTATGGTTGCAATATGTGGTCTTCTTGACAAATGCTGCGTAGACCGGCCCGTGTTCGGTAGAGTTCGGTACATGAACTGTAATGGTTGTAGGCGGAAGTTTGATGTTGATGCCTTTGTAGAACGTTACATAGAAATAAAATAACAGGTGTGGTTTAATTTTTATAGAAAAGAAAATTAATGACTGGTAGATAGATAGTATTTTATATAAATTATAGATACGGAAATGGAAATTAACATAATGAAATAGATTGTCCTTTGTAATATGAGTGGCTATTACCATTAAACATAACACTAGCTGTTAATCTCGAGGACCACGAGTTTTATTTACATCATATTTAATGCATAAACATCTGTTCTCGGCGGTATTTTCAAACTGCTAAAGGTCAAAGTAACTTCTCTACAAATGGATAGGCTATAAAAGACGTGGTATTTGTGCCTATCTGCATTGCGCCATTTTAGCGATAAAGATTGCGGTCGATAGCGGTTGTGGAGACTCGAATAATCGAGATAAACTTATCATTAACATCAACACGCGGTTTAAGTCGGAACGAAGTAAAATCTCTCATTTTGAAGCAATGCTCTTATCCATTTAAATAGATCAATACGCACAAGTGAATTACGGACTATGGTAACACTGCCCATTGCTCAAAAACCTGACATTGACAAGTTATAACAAGATAAAACGCGGGCAAAGTTAATAATTACAAACATTTAATGATTCATGTGAACTTTTCAATACGCAAAGGTCAAAGATACAAATCATTAGAAATACTCGAAGCTCTGGGTTTTTGACCATATAAATGGCGTCTGCAGCTAAGAGAAAAAAGTTGTCTAAGGCGACCTCAAAAGTTGTAAAGAAAGAAACGAATACAGATATCACTGATTTTATAAATGAAATACAAAAAAAACGAGAAAACACTGCAGATTCTATATTGGATTTTGCTTTTATTAAAAATCGCGTGCGTATTATTTCACAAGAGCAACTTGTACCTGACTACTGTGAAGGTATCGTTTATTGGATGTCAAGAGATTGCAGAGTTCAGGACAACTGGGCATTCTTGTTCGCTCAGAAGCTCGCTCTTAAGAACGAGGTTCCTCTTCACGTCTGCTTTTGTTTGAGTTCAAAAACTTCAGATGTTTCTTTGAGGCAGATTCATTTTTTGATAAAGGGTAAAAGCAAGTTTTGTTATTTATAACTCCACAAATTAAGTGTTATTTATTAAATATACAATGTTTAATTCTAGGTTTAGAAAAAGTTGCAGAAGAATGTGATAAATTGAACATATCATTTCATTTGCTGGGAGGAATTGGTCCAGATGTTTTGCCCCAATGGGTCATTGACCACAAGATTGGAGCTGTCGTGTGTGATTTCCTTCCTCTGAGGACACCAATGAAATGGGTTGAGGAGTTAAAAGAGAAACTGAAAGAGGATATACCTCTAGTTCAGGTTGAATATGTCACTGTGATATAATTATATTTTGGTAAGCGAGTTTTTATTATATAAATAAACTTTCAGGTGGATGCACATAATGTAGTGCCTTGCTGGGTAACTTCAAAAAAGCAGGAGTATACAATATGGAACATAAGAACTAAAATCAATGGCAAGCTGGAGGAATACCTCACTGAGTTCCCACCTTTGATTAAACATCCATACCAAAGCAATTTTAAAGCAGAGGTATGTTTTTGCATGTTTTCAGAACATTCTTATAAAATATAATATAATTTGTTAATAATTACTTAAAACCTTAGTTTATTATCTTAAAATGTTAGAATTGTATTACAAACATCAATTATAATTTATCACATGCCATGACCCTATCATTTTTATAGTTTAGTTTCACTTTAGGAAATAGATTGGGACAAGGAAATCTCAAGCAGAGATGCTGACAAAACAGTTGGACCAATAGAGTGGGCAAGTCCTGGATATGAGGAAGCTATGAAGACATTGAAGAGTTTCCTAGACAAGAGATTAAAGAATTTTGCTGCTAAAAGAAATGACCCCACAGAAGATGCTTTAAGCAATTTGTCACCATGGTTTCATTTTGGTAAAGTATATTATTGATTCTTTGCATTTAAACTATAACTTAAACATAAATTTTCTTAGATGCGCATTGCATTTCATCAGAATATAATTAAAACCAATTAAAAACCCACCAGGTCAAATCTCAGTACAACGAGTTGCACTTTGTGTTCAAAACTATCAAAATCAATATGAAGAAAGTGTAAAACTCTACATGGAGGAGGCTGTTTCGCATAGAGAGTTAGCTGACAACTTTTGCTTCTACAGTGACCATTATGATGACATAAAAGGTGCTTATAACTGGGCGCAGAAGACTTTAGAAGATCATAGGTTTGTATACCTTCAAGATATAAAAATTCATTATTTTTAATTTCCGGCCTGTTTACTTAAAACCAAATGACTACTATAATGAATTAATGAAAAAAAAACCATTTTCGTTTTTTTTAATCTATTGTAGAAAAGACAAGCGTACCCACATATACTCTCTAGAACAGCTGTCTAAAGCAAAAACCCATGATGAATTGTGGAACTCTGCACAACTGCAGCTTGTCAAAGAAGGCAAGATGCATGGCTTCATGCGAATGTACTGGGGCAAGAAGATTCTAGAATGGACACCAAGTCCAGAAGATGCACTTAAATATGCAATATACTTGAATGATCATTACAGCATAGATGGTATAGACCCTAATGGATATGCGGGTAAGTACACATAGATACACTACTTTACCATAACAGTTTATGTCACTGATTCTCAGAATGGTTTTTAGTAAACACCATAGATTCTTCGGGAGACTTGGTAGGGGTACATGATCTCTAAAAAATCCATAAATTTAATAGGAAAAAAGTTAGGAATTTCTGGTTTAACATAATAGTTACATATGTAGTCTTTGAACTTAGGGGAAGAGGAAGACAGAAGTAAGAATGCATAGATTGTGTGAAAGAGAAAATGAATTGAATTATGACTGCTGATGGAGATGTATGGAAGAGTACATACTATGCTTACACTTCATAGGGAAGGCAGGTTAATGAATCTTTGAACTTAATGCAAATATTTATGGACCACATTCTTTCCTACACCATATGGTTGTTGAGATTATTTTTAAATTATCATATTAAATGTTATTATGCAGGTTGTATGTGGTCAATAAGTGGTGTTCATGATCACGGGTGGACGGAGCGTGCAGTGTTTGGCAAGGTACGGTACATAAGCTATGACTACTGCAGGCGGAGGTTTGACGTCGACGCCTTTGTCGACAAATACGGAGGAAAGAAACATAAATACATTGCAGCTAAATAGACAAGATCAGATAATAGTGCTATGTATTCATATTTTGATTTGAATCTAATTTTTAATAAGATAAGTACATTTACTCAACAGTTAAAACAATCAAATTGCTTCATATGTAACATACTTCATTTTTTACGCAAAAATAAAGTAATTCATAGTTAGGACCAATGTACAGTCGCGGAAATCTGCGGTGTCCACATGAGAAAAATATCCTATTTCGTGCAACGCGACGAACTCCTCCTCTAACAAATAACCAATTAGATAGTTGAGTTGCGCAAACGACGAGATTGCAATAAAACGCTATTAATATGTACCTCTGACGGATTTTTTTGGTAATACACATTTGTAAACTGCATCCTATTGATTATTGCCCAGCGGCTGCATCTCAATATGTACAAAACGTTTTTAAATGACTAGCATTTGTGGTGAATCATCGCTAGATTCCCCGATTGTACAAACAAAAGATAATACTATTGAGAACATTTGATATTTTATATTTGAATACTCCACTCATTGCAGTACTCGAATATATTTTAATCGTGTTTTTATATATTTCTGTATTACGTCTTGGTTGTGAAAAAGAGTATTTTTTACAGTTATACCATTTTCGTATACATGTGTTACTACTCCTACTGAGTTAACTTTTTAATATGTAAGTATGTCCGATCTACCTCTTACAAACCTCACATACCTATTATGCCATTTAATGGTGCTAACCTTACACACATAAGTATATTAAAGTAAGTTAAAATAACTGTTATTATAATACATAGTGTAAGTATGGACCGAATAAAGTTTTTACAATATAAAGGTTATTGTTTTAATCAACCTGTAAATCGCAAGTACCTGTAGTTATTTAATTGCTTCTGTTTATTTCATTTTTATTTGTTTAATAAATTATCAATTTTAAAATTAATGGATAAATACCGTTGCCATTTTATAAAATCAAAATGTTTGGATAACGGCCACCCAACAAGTAAATGTCAAATTGACAGTTGACATTTCTACAACTGCAAAGTGTTTTAAAGTTTATCTTAAAACGCGCGTAAAATATTAAAACCGATATTATGAATTACGAATAAGATAAACTCTAAAGTTTTATACAAGGAAGACACACACAATTTATGAATACAGTATATTCTCTTTCATTTTTCGCAATCACTAAAATGGCATCAGCTGCAAAAAAAATAAAGTTGTCTGCGGGTTCTTCAAATGTTGAAAACAAACGGACCCAAACAACGGTAGCAGATTTTATGAATGAAATACAAAAGAGTCGGGAAGATACAGCCGAATCAATATTGAATTATGATTTTAACAAAAAACGTGTGCGTATAATATCACAAGAACAACTTGTGCCTGACTTTTGCGAGGGTATTGTTTATTGGATGTCGAGAGATAGCAGAGTTCAGGACAACTGGGCATTTTTATATGCTCAGAAACTAGCTCTTAAGAATGAAGTCCCACTTCATGTATGTTTTTGTTTGATTGCAAAATATTTAGATGCATCTGTGAGACAATTTCATTTTTTAATTAAAGGTAACAAGGAGCCTGTTATTTTGCCGAATAAATTAAAACGATAGCTTAATTTACCATTTAGCTACATTCGTTGAACTTGTATATTTATGTCATTAATTGTGTAGGGTTAGAAAAAGTTGCAGCTGAATGTAAAAAATTGAATATATCATTCCATCTGCTGGAGGGAAGTGGCGCGGACGCTCTGCCTCAGTGGATCATTGACCATAAGATCGGCGCAGTTGTGTGCGACTTCAACCCCCTGAGGACACCCATGAGTTGGCTTGAAGGAGCCAAGAAAAAGTTTAAAAAAGATGTACCGTTAATACAGGTAATTCAAGTTTTTCTTAAATTCAGACAATTTATGTAGATTTTTGATGAATGACTGCTGACAATACATGAGTTGGATAAGGACAGGGAAATGATTCATTTGAAAGATGAATAAATGATTATTGAAGTGTCAATTTGTTTTTCAATATTTCTTGCATCATGTTTGTAATATCTCAATAATTCCAGGTGGATGCCCACAATGTAGTCCCCTGCTGGGTAGCCTCTGACAAACTTGAGTATTCTGCAAGAACAATAAGGAATAAGATAAATTCTAAGCTTGAGGAATATTTAACTGAGTTCCCACCAGTCATTAAACATCCATACACCAGTACATTTAAACCAGAGGTACAGTCATCTACATTTGCAGTATTACAGTTTTGATAAAATTACATTGGATCTGGCAAATTTATAATTACAACTACTTTTATGGTACATAAAGTGTTATTTCTATACTTTGTTAGGTAATTGATATTAAATTTGTTATAGTTAATAGATTGGGACAAAGCAATAGATTCACGGGAAGCAGACAAAACTGTAGGTCCAGTGGAGTGGGCCAGTCCGGGTTATGATGAAGCTGTAAAGACCTTAAAGAGTTTCCTTGAGAAAAGACTAAAGATATTTGCTACCAAACGAAATGACCCCACACAAGATGCCTTGAGTAATTTATCACCATGGTATCATTTTGGTAATATAATAAGTGAAACACCTTTTTTTTTTTGTAAAAATCTCATTGTATACTTTTTAATTATCTTTCTTTACAGGTCAGATTTCAGTCCAGAGAGCCGCGCTTTGTGTCCAGAAATACAAATCAAAATACACCGAGAGTGTAAATGCTTATCTTGAAGAAGCAATTGTGCGTAGAGAACTGGCTGATAATTTCTGCTTTTACAATGAACATTATGACACTATAAAAGGTGCTAGTAATTGGGCACAAAAGACTTTAGATGATCATAGGTATGTTTTTCTTTTAATGTTTTTTTTTGTGTGCTGCTTATTTTCCATTTTGTTTTCTTTTATAGGAAAGATAAGCGTACCCACATATACACACTCGAAAAGCTGTCTAAAGCAGAAACTCATGATGAACTGTGGAACTCTGCACAACTGCAGCTCGTCAAAGAAGGCAAGATGCATGGCTTTCTTCGTATGTACTGGTGCAAGAAGATTCTAGAATGGACGCCGAGTCCAGAAGATGCGCTTAAATATGCAATATATTTGAATGATCATTACAGCATAGATGGCAGAGATCCTAATGGATTTGTTGGTAATAATCTACTAATATACGAATCTTAACATTTATTTTTTATTATTTTTCTTTGAATTTGATGGGTCATGGTACACACAGGTTATGATACAGTCAAGGACTCGGACAAACTTCGCCTCTTCCTAATAATTTAATCTTAAAAAAAACAACAAGTTGCAATTAGTTAACGATGGCATAACAATAACAAACCATTTAGCTGTGTTCTACTGACCAACATTTATTCCTACAGATATATGCATCTTATTGGTAACTCCGCGTAGCAATTATAATGTTCAAACAACGAACTTTTAAGGGAGAACACCTCCAGATTCTGTGCAAATGCATTATGTGTCCGCAGGCTGCATGTGGTCAGTGTGCGGGGTGCACGACCAGGGCTGGGCGGAGCGCGCGGTGTTCGGCAAGATCCGCTACATGAACTACAACGGCTGCAAGCGCAAGTTCGACGTCGGCGCATTCGTGGCTCGATATGGCGGGAAACAGCATAAATATAAAAATTAACTGTCACCAACAACTTTATTGACTGTACCTCTGAGGGGTCTATCACGAATATTCACGTTAGCGAAAAAAATCGTAACGAAATGTGTACGAAATTTGGTACATTTTACCTTTGGTAGTGCAAAAATTTTGTTACTAAAATGCTCTCACGAATATTCGTGATATCTCCTCAGAATAAATCAATATAAGGGAAGTTTAGTCTGCAGTTGGTTTCTATTGAACATAATCCTATTTACTTAAAATATTTCTCTGCCAATCAGCTGAAAATAGTCTTATTAAATTTGTTATTTTATTATATATTTAAGGTTTAATGTTATCATAAAAATATAGTGTTTGTAACTGTTCTGTTATTAATGTTATAGATTGTTCAATGATCTGAGTTGTTTAATTGGTGAGGGAGAGGGTTTTATATATTATTATATATATAGCTAACAAAAAAAAACAATTAAAACGTTTATATTGTCGCCGTCAGTAATTTCAATCTTTAACACTACATTACACTATTTATAATTATGAGTTAAGTTTCCTTAATTCGGAAAGTACAAAGCAGTGTTTTTTAAATTTTAAGAATAAATGATAATACAAATTTTCTTTATATTTCTTTTCTATTCCTTCTAAAATTTCCAACAGCTCCAAAAGAATCTTGAAAAATATTAAAGCAAAACGGCTCTTTAGCTCACATTTTAGAATTATGAAGAAATTGTTCTTTTAATATTGTTGTATATCAGTATAAAAAGGTTATTATAAATGTGAAGAAAAAAATAAGTCTTAATTGATAGTTTTTTGAATACATTTTTGGACTTTTACAACTTATTTTGATAAAGCCTAAAAATCACGATAGCTCAAAAATAGTTAACTTCCGCATAGTGCATATAGGGCAAAATTATTACAAATGATCCCCTGTATTTAAGCGAAAATACGTCGAATTACCAATAACTCTGTATATCGATCATTGTGTTTAAAAAAAAAAAAACAGCACTGAACGTTTTTCAACGAGTCAAAAATCAGTGCAGTAACGGGCTGCGCTGTTCTTGCGTTAGCTGAGCTTGCCACATTTTTTTAAAGTTATATTTTAATTCTAAGGTTGTATATTAGATTTCATAGGTAGTTTTTTGTGGTAATAAATTTCCTATTTCTTTATTCAATGTACAATGTGTAGGTATCATAGTAATAAAACACAATTTGCTTTGCTTATAAATATTTTTATTCATGAATGTGGCTGTTCCGTGGTTACACAATCATATATTTCGATAAACATCATAAAATTAGAAATAGAAAAATAATATCAAATAGCTATTTCTCGTCGGAACTTTTGCGGAGTTAAGTTAGCATCGTAGTCAAAGGTTGAAGTATTTCGATTACTATATAAATATACACGGCATCGAAAAAAATCTAATTCATATTATATCATCACAAAAGCACATAACATAAAATGTATATCCACGATCGATGGCAATAATAAAATCAATATCAAGGAACACAAAATATTTTATCATCGTCTATTATGTCACATTTTATTAATAACAAGTCTCAATAAATGAAATAATAAAATAATAGAAAGGAAAATCGTCATGTCAACACACAAAGGAATAATAAAATCGAAAATTAAGTAAAGGCGAATCTGACTCAATCGTTATTATGGTTATTGCAGTTATTATGATGCGGAGTCCCGGAGCGAGCGGTCGCTGAACACAATGTGTGGCGTCACACGAGGCCGCCATACACGGCCCAACACTACCCAACACGGCCCATACACGGACCATACACCTCTGGACATACAAACGTTTATAATCGTAATTAAAATTCATAGAAAAAGTGAAAATATTGAAGACGGAGCGACGCGGTCGGAACCTAATTGCTGCTATTTGGGATGCTCGATATTTTATAACCAAAATATTAATGTTTAAAAACTAAATGAAGTTTCCACATGATATAAATTGTCAACGAAAATATTTAATATTGTTTTTATAAACACAATTAGTCGACGTTTAATCAATTAAAAAAATTAAAACCATAGCAAAAAATTCTTGCATCCCTGCCCTAACTGGGAGACTGAAGTTGGGCTTATGTGTTAATTATATATCTGGTGTCGACGTCGTCGTGAGGGAACAGAAGGGGGTGTGGCTTCGTTATATACTAGTTGGTTGTGCTCCGTGTGTCAGTGTGTGTGTGAAAGCAGAGCTACATTCGCTGTCGGCTGTCGGCTGCGGCTGTCGGCTATCGGTCGGCTGCCGCTACTGCACGCAGCACGAGTTCTTGTGCCCGTTCTTCTTCAGTCTCGACTTGGGTCGGTACTTCTCCAGGTAGGACAGCTGCTTAGCATTGATGGCGCCGCGACGCTGACTGCAAATGTAAACAAACATTTTAATAATGCAAATAAAGTCACATAGACAGGACTGGAGGCATATCAGCCACATTTTAATGAAAAAAGACATTAAAATAACACTATTTTCAGGCATAAGATAGATCATGAATTTATTCAATAACTTGAAAGGTTAACCAAGATATACAGATCTTTATATTTGTGAGAGAAAAGATTGTGTACATATGCTATTTAAATTTGGAAACAAGAACATTTTGAAACGAGATGCGGAACAAAGATCAATATAACGCAGCTTATAAATGAGTCTACGAAAAAAGTGATACACGGCTAGTTTTTTTTCATTATTATTCCTTCCTTTGCTCACACTGCTATCTAATTAGTTATTTGTTAGAGGCGGAGTTTGTCTCGTTGTAATGAACAAGGCAATTTTTCTGAAGTGGAGCACCGCTTATTTCCGCGACTGTACACCTGTAAAATAAGTAAATGTATACTGACTCGCGTATGGTCTCGACGGCCTCCTCGTACTTCATGCCGAGCTCGATGAGCGCGATGGCCACCATGACGGGCGCGCGGCCCAGCCCCGCCACGCAATGCACCGCCACCGCCGCCTCCGGCTTGTTGGCAGCCCTCAACAACACACACGTATCTCAAATATACGAAGTTTTTTTTTTATAATTGGATCATTTTTGTACTTTTCCTACCATTCCAACTAAGCTCTAAGCCTGTACTTAATATAATTTACGACATAGTCGAATGGCAGGATTCGAAACCTCGACCGCGTGATCGTAAATCCGTACCCTAAACAATTAAGCTATAGTCACTTATAAAATTATTTGCTTGTTTTTTAATTTTAAACTAAAAACTAAAAATTAAACTTTAATTACATTTAACATTTTACTAAAATGGAAGTTAACGAGTCTGCTTTCGCTATTCTCAAAGAGAGTGGATAATAAACAAGCTGCTTTGTCTGGGTGTATTGTAAAGTATTTGTTAAATGTGGTCGGATGGTGTAAATGTTGAGTTGGTCGCTAACAGGTATTGCATCAACCCGTACTGGGGCAGTGTGGCTGACCTAGTCACCCTAACTTAGGGTAGGCTCCGAGCCACATAGGGGACCTATAGGGTGATGAGGTATTATGTTGTGTCTCACTTGTCGCGGAGGATCTCGAACCAGTCGTCGACGACATTCGGGGGCGGGAAGGTGCCGTCATCGTAGGCGAGGTCACGCACCTCGATGCCCTCCGCACGCAGCGGCGCCGTGTCATAGCTCGGCTCGCACACGCGGACCACCGTGCACACGTTGTGCTTACGCAACTCCTGAAACCAACACAATGAACATTTTACAATCAGCTATAGTACAAAAACACTAGATTAGGTAAATGATGGTAGAACACTGGACTAGAATAAACTAGACTGATATGACGGATGCTAGAGTTAGGAGGACGAAAACTCGATGCACCGACCCTACGGGAGTAAAATAAGGCAGGGGAGATGATGACTGGACTAGAGTAATCTACTTCCCCAGTAGACTATTCCCTTTGTAGAGCAGACTGTTCTCAAAGCTAGAGTAGACTACTTCTGTAATCTTAATGTGAATTACGATATATAATGCTGTTCCTTATTTGCATTGATGTAACTGCGATGCTAAAATGCAAGTCACGGTGAAAGTTTTAACATATATGACAGCTAAATATTAATAAATCTTTTTTTAATAGTTGAAAATAAACCAAATGGCAATTAACAATTAAATATGTAAGTAAAAGACCAAAAATTTCGTATAATTTCAATATCTTAATAGCCAAGTACTATACTCCATTAGTCGAGTGTAACGGTACTGGAGGTGGAGTGACATTCGAGCGATTGTTCTCGCCGCGCCCATATCACATCTGATAGCATCAGACATCGCTATGCATACGTGCGCCGCCGCACGGCAACAAATGCACCGTCATGCAATTATTTATTTTAAAACTCCTTATAGTTATTTATATATTATACTTATTAGTATAAACTTTTGAATACTAGTTAACTATGTAAAAAGTTAGCAGCGAGTCCTTTTAATTTGTTTTGTATATAAAAGTGATATTTTTTTGTCGAGTTAATTTTTTTAATATAATAATTTACCTGTTTTTGATTGTATTTCATTCAAGTGCGTATATTGCGTAGTAAGGTTTGATGTGTGATGTGTCTCACCTGCAGGTAGGACTGTATGGTGACGTCCGAGGGGCGGTCGGTGATGAGGAAGCGCATGCTCTTGTACTCGATGAGCGAGGGCGCCGGGCGGATGTCCTTCTGCTTCATGGCGGTCGCGGGCGTGTCTCAGCGGCCGATACGATACGATGTCCCACACCGAGCTGGTGGCCTCACTTCACTCGCGACAGAACGTGCAGGTATCCGTCAGAGTCTAACAGGCAAATTGTCACTCTATTTCCACACAACACACTTCAGTTTCGAGGTTTTTCTTTAAAAAGGGTCCAATTATATAATGAAAACCACCCGCATGGATGTCGCCTTCAAACGCACGAGCACATTCGAAGACAGACAAACGAAGGTACAGAATGGGGATCGAAAATTAATAAGGAATCAGCCGCGTAACATAAGTTGTTTTGTTTCTATTCCTCTTCGGTTGAACTCCGGCAACTGAGAGTGATGATATCCTCCGATCAGCAGCGGGATTCGGATTTAAGGAAGCTGAAACAGAGATATTTAAAAAAGGTTAGAGTAGAGAAAACTGGGAAAGCGTCTGTTTGATTAACGAGCGACGACATTTCGACTTTGGTTGCGTCAAAGCGGCGGCGGACACCGGGGCGGGGTGCGGCGGAGCAGAGTTAGGAATTTGTTCATAAAAATAGCCAAGTTTCGTTAGTGGGTGATGTGCGATGGAGTGGCGACGTCGTGGCCGTCATGTGAGCGGGCGGGGAGTGCGGCCCGTAGCTACTGAGCCCTGTGCCAGCTCCTTGCCGCCGTCTCCGTCACAGCCAGTCGGCTCACAATCGCGCGATAACGGTTATTGTAAACACGGCCGACAGCGACAGCCGACAGCGCTCCCATTGTGTGCATTTCGATAATTGCGGACTCGTCGTGGTCACAATAAAGAACATCGGAACGTGTTAATTAAACATCTCATGCACTCCACTTGGCAACCATGTGATAAGACGAAGGACTCTTAGAGGTTTTTATTTTATATGTGTATTTGTTCGTACACACTCTTGCATCTAATCGTTACTTCTAACTTCCAAAATACTGATGATTATTTGAAATAAGCATATTTATTTTACCTGTGGGTGTATGAGCAACATATAGCGTGTGTATGGGGTGTCTGGGCGCGCTCCCGGCAGCATGGGTCTCGCGGGTGCTCGCTGCGCTCTCGCTCACACGCCCGCACTTTATTTGTGTTGGGCCTGGCAGTACTCCGCGCTGTCCAAGCGGAACTCCATCAATGTCGCCACAGAAGAAATGCCCAGCTGCAACAACACAACCGATATTACCACTACGTCATACTGACATTTACTGCCGCATCACTCAAAACAAAACCACCATAAACGAAATAGTACATACAATACGGTTTGCCGGCAAATTCACTAACTATGTTTACACATTGATTATTGGTTTTAATGAACGAACAACTTAATAGGATATTGTGAAATTTACAATCTATTTAAGAGCACTAATTAGACACTAATGATCACGATTCTAAGAAAATGTACATCACGGTAGGCGTTTAACATCTGAGAGATACAGAACAGTCCGAAGAGCACAGAGTTGTATAAATCGTTCGGCACACAACGTACTGGCATCTTGAAGTATCGCGACAACTTTGGAAGGATATTTTATAGTCGAGTGGTGTGAGGCGACGATTAACGGTAGCACCGCGCCACTGAGCCGGGCCAACACGCAACAGATGTTGGCAGCAGTACTCTGCCGTCGCCGCGTCTTGTTTACATTTACACATCTCTCTAATACGTTGATAAAGCCAGAAACACTGCCAGCTATAGAAACCGTCATCACAATTAGCACACCGACATTTCAACGAAAACATCTCGGCAAATATTTATTTTCGTTTGAGATTTTTAAGGAGCGACGGAAAGCAGACTTGGGATTCGGCCAAGAGGAAAGTTGGAATTATGTTGATGTTTCCATCTTGCGTCTTTAAATCACTGAAATATATGGCTACCTAATAACTCACAGTTAACTATAGTTCATAAAGGAGTGTAGTAGAGTGTAAATCATGGCTAAAAATACCGGAGCAATAAATATAAGACATCAAAAATCAAGTCAAAGTTCTTTTGCCACATTGTTTTACGATCGAATTATCTGTTTTTATAAGATACATATCTAAGGATAGTGATAACGCTTACATAGATATGAAGATAAATCAACGAAAAACGCATAATATTGTAATGTAGCTTGAAATTGAAAAAATACATTTAACAATCAGAAATGCCAATCGAATTCGGCGAAGGTCTGGCAGACAAAGAATAAACGATAAGATGTCCCCCAAAAGTTGGGGTCGCGTTCGATAACGCAGAGATTGGGGGGCACAAAATTGTCCAAATGCCGACTAGACGGGACGCTCGATAAACCCCAGACTGCCAGTTTGCACATGTGCAAACTATGCAGACGATTTAACTCACAGTGTCTGCTTGTTGCCGTATAAAGCTTTATGTATGGTGAACTGAAGTTGTTTGATAGCCAGGGATATACGTGCATTTTTATAGTTTAACCAACTAAAGCTGAATTAATTCTAACATTATATCCGTAACGTATGGCGCATCTTTCTATTGTTTTAATCAAGAAACGTCTCGGGTTTTACGGTGATTCGTTTTATCGTTTGTAAAACTACGGGTACATCAGTGAAGATGGACGTACGATAATTTCCAAGGCTGGAGTGTGCGGTCGCTGCGAACGAGTGACGACATCGATAACAAAGGACGGATTGAAAATATTTTCACACGGCTCTATAAACAGTGCATAAGCAAGGGCATTCGGATGTGAGCGCGGATGTTATTAGTTTATCAATAGCCGGCTGGTCGCGGGGCTTGTTATGGACGACAATGTGAATTCAATGGACGTACGCCGTAGATCGGAGGCCACGTGCCCGCGACACCGTTTATCGGGAAGGCGCCAACTAATTTCACGAATCATATAGTTGGCTGATTGATTGGTTTATTTCCTTTATGCCAGGTTTATGGGCGACTTGACCCTGTCGCAATTAAAAGCTTTATTAAATATAGCGATTGTTTACTTTGTAAAATAGTAGTAACATTCTCCCTGTATGTAGTACGAGCAATAGAACAGTCAAAATTGTGTAATTTACTAGGATCTGATAATGCTATAAAGTGACGCGTAATAAAAAAATGTAAAAACAGTAAAAACAAATCTAATCAACGTCACAATCAATAGTAATACTCCGAAGACCTTGATTGATATAATAGAGTATTGATTATAAGAACATTGTGCGATATATTGAATAACATTTACAAAGTTGCAGTGTTTCCTCTACTATGCTCTCTATGCCTCTACTACACTCCTATACGATGCTAAGATTGTGTTCTTTTCCTTAAATAAAAATAAACCACTTTTAATCGGTTTAATATAAGTACAAAACTCATCATATTAATATTATAAATGCGAAAGTTTAGATGGATGGAGGTTTGTTAGAGTCTGTAGTCTAAACGGCTGAACGGATTTCGATTAATTTTTGGTGTAGATGTAGAGGATAATCTGGAATAACACATAGGCTACTCACTTTTGTTTTTTTTTTTGCTCGTGCGGACGAAGTTACTAGAGCAAGCTAGTTATTGATATATCGAAAAGCTTTTTATAACACGTGCAATAATTGTAAAAAAGTAAATATAGAGTATAATTCTAGATATTTTATTTTGGGAATCTACATTATTTATTCCTTAGGTACGAGTAACAACGACTAAGGAAGTATACATGTTCGAACTAGCAATTCAAGTGCTGGCAGCATATTGATGCACTTGAGGAAGTGTCGGCCGAGGTCAGTCCCACAATAGTATAACGAGCGTGCTCCGCCGCCGTTGCAACGCTTCTAGGAAACTTCGTTACCTTGACTTGTTACTTTATATGTCTATCTTTCCAATGTTTACATTTCTCGGATGAATTTTGTAAAAATAACCTCAATAGTTTATGCACATAAATAAGTGTTGAGATGTTCTAATCCAGCGACATATAATATGTCGAAGTTCAGTGGTACGTCGACACGGCTGGGATTATTGCAGTTTGGCAACGAGATTGCTTATGTTTCAGTCACGTCTAGATAGACAGTTATGCCCTAAACATTACTATAAATGTTGCATTAACGTGCTTTGAACTGTAAATTATAATCATCTACTTATTAACTTCAACTATTAACTACAGATTAATTTCAAATTCAATTATCAACTTGTTTAATATATGGTCTTGTTATTAATCCAACCGACATACTAGTAGGCGATATAGTAGTTTCTCAAATTATCTGTTTGTTTACCGAAACATGACGTATTTAATGCGCAGCTCGATGCAGATGCAAAGTCGCAAATGATGAAGGTCGAATGAAGACATCAATATTTGCAAGATTCGATCTATTTTCGCAAATAAAAATCACATTTGCGACAATGTTAATAAACAGATCATGGCGCCTGCGCACGATCTGTTGATGCTACGACACTGAAGATGGCGTCAAACAGTTATTTACGTAACGTATAAAATTTGTTTAGACTTCTAAAAATTGAACACTTGGAAATCAGATTAAATATACGATTTTCCAACTTGTACTTAGTATCAGAGGTGGGGCAATGAATTTTTTTGCGTTCCTTTCGTCATTTCAACATAGAGGTGTTTTACACGTGACACTATAGCTTTTTCTCTAAGTTTGTATAAAATAATTAGTACATGAGTTTATTATCCGAGTATTAAAGACTGTATGTAATATAAAATAAATTGATTTCTGAGTAGAACAGTATGAAAACCACAAAAACGTAAAAAAATAAATTCAAATCCATCTGTCCCAATACATAATGAACCAGAGTGAGCATTGAAAAAAGTACAAAAGCTTTTTGTCGCCTTTTAATACTCCGAACCTTTTTGTGTTCGCAGTTGACCAGATATTAGGGTAACATTTTTATTTCAGAAAGTACATTCTATTTTCGCAAATATAAATAAATACGCACAGGACCGACCTACTTTAAAGACTGTAAATGTTTTGTACATAAACCAACTACGTTTTTAAATAAATTATGAAAATCTCAAGGCATTGTACAAGATAACGGGGATGTTTACATAAAGATTTAGGCTAGCTTCAATAAAGAGACAAACAGACAACCAGGACAAGTGAATGACGCGGTATTCACACAAGATTACTCACGTAGAAAGAATTTACGCACAACTAAACAAATCCAAGCTTCGAGAACACTATATCAATTGTCTCGAACAATTTAATCAAAATTAAAAAGTTCGTTTAATATCGTTAAAACCAACACAACCTATTTAACTGTCATTTTAATTGCATGATGCTACCTGTGCTCAATAATGCCTTATTGAGGCAAATTGTCGATGTTTCTAGCCTAGTTTAAGCCTGTAAATTGTACTGACGATAAAATTACATACTTTTAATTCAAGCTATATTTTAGCGGTGTAGTTAATACTAGGTGAAAGATTTACTGATCCCATTTATTACATCGTTTACATTTCGAGTCAAAATATTGATATTATTCGGCAAATTTATTGGTATTACAAATAACGTTTATATTACTTGTAGAAATTATTGCGTTTATTTTCATGGAAGAAACACTTTTTGTTCGTATAATTAACATCGAGGTCGCGTGTTTAAACGCTTGCTAGTTTTATGATTATTCAATAATTCTTAGTTGACGTACATCAAAGTTTACCTTATAAAACATAGCTTGAATCAATTAAAGCAATAAAGAACAGTTCCATATGACAAAGACGAAAGTATAAATAAAGAACAGATATCAAACAAAAAGATACATACATGTACAAATTGGAAACTAAATTCATAACTGAAGAACTTGAGCATAAGTAAGACCGTAAAAATATCAGAATAAAAGTCGTAACCCGAATATTTCTTCACATAAAGTGGAATAAGCGAAATGCGTTAATCAACCCAAAGAGAACCTAGAGAACTTAAAAAGTGGTAAAAGGTACTATGACTATCATCAACAAAACTACATAATTCATAGTAAATGGTACAGAATACATGATCATATTCATTGTACATCATAAATAAAACATACACATTTAAAGCTGTTCCAATTTTGTCGCTGTTGTAAAGAGGTTACGAGATTAACATTCAATTTATCTAATAAAGCAAAACCTGAATTTACCTAAGAAACTATTTTTTTTCAATTACATTTTCTTCTCAAAATAGAACTGAATTGTAAGTCTGTGTATGATCATACATTGTTAACGTTTCGGCTATTAAGAAAAATTTAAAACTTAAAACATGTCTCAAGTAAAAGATAATCACAGCTATTAACTTCGACCGTGAAATAATGACATTGGCAATGACATAAGCCCACACAGAGGAAGCCAGACAGCGCTAAATTAATTTACATAAAAAATTATGTCGCTTAAAACATACTCCTAATAACGATATCAATGTTTGTTCGAGGTCAAAACTCAAACAATTTGAATAAACAAAGTAATCAAACAGGTATAATTAACACTAATTTAGAAATAACTAAACCACACCTCGAAATGTGACAAGCGAAATGCTTTGTGTATGAAGAAATGAATAAGCACGTTTAATAATTAAAGTAAAGCCTACTGTGTTGTCAATTAACATGGACACAATCGCCCGCCCACCAGTGGAATTATTTTGTTCTATAAAAAAAAATGACGGGCGTGCAACGAGCGAGCTCTAAATGAAATTGGGCTAAACGTTTAGCGTCGGGAGCTATCAGTGGCAGTAATGGAATTAGTGAATAAAAAGAATAACTCCACAGACAATTTACAACGTGCCAGTATTTAAGCGGGTTTATCGGTTTCGTACGTGTTCCACCGCTTTCTATAACGCAAACTGGAAACAACGAAACGAATTGATAAGATAGAGCGGGTAACTATCGAACAATGATCGAAAGCGTGCGTATACGTGTCTCCTTATACTCGGGCCACCTGTTGCTTGGGACCAAACTACAAAAAACAATGTGCCATAAAAAATACACAAAACCGAGCTAAAAGTAACGTTTGACAAAGTGCACTAGGTCGTGTTCTTGTCAGGTATATTTACCATATCCAACAACCGGTGGATTAGTTACTATACGTTCCCAGTTGTGTTCTACTTTCGTTGGAGTTTCGTCACATGTGCCGCGTTGTTTCTCGGCCTCGGTAAATGCAGTGTCTCCAGAGACTAGTGGTGACACAAAAACATCACTTACATGCGTCCAATAAGGGCGGATGGTAGCACTTTAACAAAGTTACGGGTACACAAGTAGAGTCGGCAAAACGTGAACTTTCGCGCAGCAGTAGCTGTCGTCGTAGACAGTAGAGTAGGGTTAGGCGTTTACATCGCAACGGGTCGACACTGTCCGTGCCGCGGGCGTGCAAAGACTGGCGAGTGGCGCTGCTGGCAGTAGCGGGCCGGGCGCGGGCGACCGCACTCGACGTCACGTTGCCGGCCGGCCGCTGGCGTCATTGCACGCGCAGGGCTGCCAATTTTGCTTTATACAAATATTCTTACTTGGAAAACTTTTTAATGAACAAAACATTACGGCAAAACGATATAATAGAAAAATCCTTTTGGGAATACTTATGTTAGTCAAGACACGTTTTTAATTACAAACGCACGAATTTTATATAACTGACAGCCTGACGCATACGCATAAACACAATGACGCACGATAATGACACTTATCGCATGAACTTTTGTTTAGCGACGAAATGCTAAACTTGTGATCGGCTCACTTGTTACATTCACACATTAAGCCGATGGCGTTTTTATGATTGTAGTAAGACTAAACACGGTGTCGTCTACGTCGTGGGTGGTAAACGTATAGACATCGTGAGAAATGTTAATACGATCGTGAGACCACCCAATTAAGGTTTATTAGAGAATGGAATGTTTTGAGTCTGAACGCCTGTGAAAACTGTATTGCGGATGAGCTACTGCGTCGTAACAATCTAATAATAGTAGAAAAAAAGTCTCAACCAAATCCCACGCCGTGAATGAATGCGTGAGAGCTAGTGAGCACAGATAGTGCCAACAATACAATATTTAAACGAGAAATCAAAACGATTTCGGATTAAAGAATGAATTGTTTTGATGGTTCGATGCTTTTAGATTCACACTCAAAGGTCAGGCGGTAAATTTTTAATCTAAACACCTGCTAGTTGCTATGATAGCATTTTTCTTCACAATAACTATGTCTATGGTATATTTAGATCCATTCCACATTGGCATTTCCGTTTGCGATATACATTTAATAGGATAAATGGCTAAGAAACTGCATCGAGGCGATCGTAGGCGGGCAACAATTTAAAATGTTTAACCGACCGTATAATATACGATCAACGATTATTTCCGTAGCGCAACAAGTTGAAGTAGGGTGGGCGTACTAAGTACACAAGAGAATAGCCTATACTCAGGTCGTGGGTGTTGGTTTCAAACGCCTACAGTCTTTAGATGTGGTAAACTTACATACAATCCTAAAGCCACAATATATTAATTAATCTTAATTACACAATCAATGTATTCTTTGGAAAATATGTACTAAGGTAAATTTCTTTGGCAAATGTTTTAATATATAAATATGCTGATGAATTAATGTTGCTAACAATTATTTCAAAAGCAAATCAGTTTGTACTCTAGACAAAAAAAGAGTGTGTTTGATACTACCTTCGTACAAAACACTTCAACACCATACATTTTATAGGGCATAGAACATAAACAGGTCGCCTACACATCGGATGTTTATCAGATGATTTACTAAGATTCGCTGTCACACGCCATCTTCTGCTAATCCGGATAAACGAGATTTACAACTAATGTTAAAGTTTCCATTAATAAAAAAATGACAAACGCTAATAGATTATTCGGATATTATAATTTTTTTTAATCGGGTTTCTTTTGAGCCATTGTTGAATAAATGACAACAAACATTTGCTATCATTCAACGTTTCTATTCTAAATTTCGTGATGAGGAAGTTAGGATTAATTGTTTTTTTGCGTGAAATTGGTATGCGTCAATTTAACAGGCAATGTCAGATATTATACGACATTATGTCAACTTGGGTAATATATTCTGGAAATTAATTGAGGACGTTAAGCGTGATATATTCCACCAAAGTGTAGTCGGTACAAACCGATGGGAATAAGGGAATTATGGAATGTGTATATGAATTTTTTACATGCTATTAATAAGCGGACTGAAAACGATTAAATTTTTGACATATGCCTTAGATGAAGATATGCGTTTTTGATCCTAATTTCAGTTGTTGTGTGTCGGTCTAAAGCTCCTTTGAATGAACGATAATAAAACATACTCAATGTTTAAATAACACACGTGTAAGAAAATTGATTTGCATAATTTTTTAGAACATCTGTCAGTTGAAACGTAAACAATAGCCTATTCTGTTACACGTTTTTTCTTAGTTATTGTTTTAATACGGAAGAATTGCAAGAAACGTAATAAATTATAATATTATTGAATGAAACATCATTCGATTGATTCATGAAGCGACAGTAACAACATCCATTTTTAACAGGTGTTAAGTTGGAAACGTGTGTAATCATTTATATCAAACAATCTCATAAAAACGTCATTGTAAAAACGTTGAATGTTACTGAATGTAACTTTTAGACGACATTACTCAAACTATGGTCCAAATTTTATTCAAATTCGTTCAGTCGTTCAGGAGTTATATGGTAAGATATATCCATGCAGCTAAACATTCGCATTTAGTTAGCAATAAGATCGTTTGTATAGATTTTTTTATAGATATCATGTAAATATTCATTAACTGTTTTCAAATTACTTTACACCATTAATATCTCTTCATAATAAATCTTAGTATGTATCGTCCGCATCTATACAACCGCAAGTTCCTATATTTATAGTAGGACAAAGTTACGGTAACGAGTGCAGACGTGCGGTTACTTAGCAGTACGACGATCCTGCTCGGATCGGGTTTCGTACCAGCCGGCGATGACTCACTGCCGGAGCCACGGCATACGGTGTGCATTTTAATCATACCAAAATGTATTTTGTCTCTATTACGAATGAAAGGGATGACATCAATTATAGAGTAATCACTGGACTTTAAAGGATCGCAAAGTTCCAAAAACTGTACAGCAGGATTAGCTCCTTATTTCATAAAAGTACTCGCTTTCGCCCGCGACTATGCCGTCGTGGAATTAAAAAAGTAAGTAGCCTACGTGTTCTTCCAGACTATCCTCTACATCTATGCCAAATTTCATCGAGATCCCTTCAGCCGTTTAGGCTACAAACTCTAACAAACATCTATCTATCCATCCATCCAGATTTTCGCATTTATAATATTAGTAAAATTACGTAAAATCCTATATAGTAACAGTACGTACGTGTAGAAAATGATAACAATCGCTTCGCTAGCTGCCTTTGACGTACTTATTACGTTAAAAGTGCGATAACAACTTGTATCTGGCTAGGAAATCCCTGAAGTGGATAGAATTTTTAGGCGATTACTAGTAGCATATTTAAGCGCCAATAGCCTAATGGTTCGGGGTAAGGACTACCGATCTTGTGGTCGAGGGTTCGAATCCCGCCATTCGACTAGCATAAGCCTAGAGCTTAGTTGGAATGGTCAAAGGAAATGTTAGTAAATTAACAAAAAAACCTTTTAATATTTTTACAAAACAAATATTATCGCTGAATTATCCTTCATAGTTTTAATTTAATCATTGATATAAAAAATCAATATAAAACGTATACTTAATTAACTCTGCAACCTTGCACAATACAGTTACTAGTTAATGATACTTCGTGACAAACTAACTTGCCGTTAAGACTTCAGACAGATGTCTACAATATGGATCAGTTCGTGACGCTTCATACTAAAGTTTACGAAATTGAGGTCACGTTCACCAAAACTGCAACACAGATTAAGTGCATGTCAGCTAACGGCGTATCACAAATCTCCGGAGTTCCGCTGAAAACGAAACATGAGAAGTCTACGGAAACATTTTTATATTTTAGCAATTTAATCTGATATTACCATCATATTAATAATATCATCTATGCAATCCTAGTCTATTCTAAAACTGACTAACCTCAATAACTACGAATACCGATGTATTCCATAATACAAATGAAATATGTAAGTATAGCATTATCATAGAAGAAAGCTTTTGGCGGGTGCGGGGCGTCCGTAAAGCTCTTAGGAGAGAAAACACTCGATGTCGGGGCTCGAGTGCCTTCGAGAAGTCTTGAAAGAACGTTCAGGCAACGGTTATCGACGCAAGGGCGGGGCCGGAGCGGTATTGCTATTCTTATATGCCACGAGAATTGTGTTACTATCTCAGCTATTATTAATACTAACCTTCTAATTCGATAATCATTTGAGAACATATAAATTTAGCATTTGAAACGAACTGAAGATGTTAAAAAAATGTTTACTAATTTCAATATTATATGTAAATGCGTGTTCATTTATAAACTAGTTTGACGATAGCGAAATGTGCAATAAAAAACATGTAACCTCTCCCAACAGAGTTCACATTGAGACGACTGAGACGAAGGTCATTCTCAAATTACTCGCTTAGCAACGAGACAAATATTCAACTCGAACAAATATGAAGTACTCATACATAATACTATTCAACAAAGCAGAATATTTTGATAAGTAAAAATACTTTAGATAACCGATAAATATTGATAAACTGAAGTTGATAAAAAAGTTTCCGGGACCAATAAAGAATATTCGAGAAGTACTAACACTATTCTTAAAAAAATATCTGAAGACATCTTACAGTTAAAGAGGTTTTACTGTATTACTGAAGGTTTTTTAGTAGTTTACCTAACCACACGTCATCCAGTACTATAATCCAATATTCGTTAATAGTTTTATTCAACTGTTGTGTAAAAATGTAACTGTTAGGTACTATAGATATATAAAATGATGAGGTTGGGAAAGTAACCGTAAGTGTAGTCCTTTTGTGAGTGCGCAGTGGGGCGGTGTGGCAAATCAACTTTCACAAGTCATATACCAGCGCACCAACGCACTTCACTAGTTACCAACCTTTCCAGTTAACTACGTATATACCATAGAAATAATTCGTAGCTGTAAATACCATGCCCTTATTATCCTACCATGAATAATTCAAACTTTCTCTAAATATACAGTACCAATATTTTGAATTCTAAACCAATGTATTAAGGAACAAAATTGAACACCCCCGTAAAGTATTTGCGGTTCTGCGACAGCAAAATTCGATTACAAAGCAGTTCGCAGGCGAACTGGCATTTAATGTTATCGTACCGGTTACGAACGATTACCGGATTGTAGCGTACGAACAAAACAATATACAAGTAAACTTGCAAACTCATTGTTAAGGAACATTACCCGCTTTAATTACAGCTAC